ATGTAGACAATAAAACAAGAAAGTGCTTGGAATTGCAGGAGTCTGCGCGATTAGAGTTGTTAAACCACTCAGAAGTAAACAGTTGTCAGCTTGAATCTGCCATGGTAAGAATTACGACGTCGTCTAATCATATTTAATCTTTCTTATTTGCTCTTCGCTCTTAATTATCACCTATCTTATGTTTTGTTTTCCTTCCCTGATTTGTTTCGCCTAATTAACCTTATTCCTATTACCATTGTTATCATTATTAATCATCCCAATAGATACCTGGTTTTCTTATTATGTCTGCATAAGTACTATTAAGTATCTTGTTTTGAATGACATGATCTACGCTCAGTCAATTCAGTTCTCACCCCTGTTTCAATATTATTATTACCATTATCATTATTTTCCTACTTGAAAAGCACTGTCATCCAAACTTATAGATAATCATGTGACTTATTCCCAACCTATTCAACCAATTAATCAATATCAGGCATTACTGCGTAACGGTCCGAGTTGCCACACCCATATCAGTACATCAAGTAAATAAGCAGTGAGGCTCAAGATTAAGATAAGAGAATGCAGTCGAAAGAAATATAGAGTACGAAAAGAGAGAAAGGAAGAATGAGAAACTGGTGAGATTCGGTATAGCATCTTTAAGATGGGGATAATGTATGTATACATCTGCACCACTGACATCGGTTCTGAGCCATGTGATCACCTAGAGTCTCCAACCACTGGTTCCTCTTGTCCCGCGGACCCTAACCACCTAGCCTGCATCGTCCCATATGGCTGAAACCAACAGTCAGAGACTTCATACATTGGTGCCATGTTTTAGTCTGGCCACCTCGGGCCTTTTTCCAGCCTGGACCTACCTTGGCGAACATTGTGTGACGAGGCAATCAGTGACTGGGCATACGTAGTACGTGTCCCAACTATCTCAATCGATGAAGGTTTATAACCTTGTCTACTGATTTACCTCTTCTCCCTAAAACTTTACCCCTAACTTCTGCATTACTCACATGGTGATACCACGGAATACGTTTTATACTATGAAGGTGATGGTGGTCAAACACTTGGAGCCTTCTTATATCTTCCACTTTCAATGTCCATGTTTCACAGCCATACAGTAGAACAACCCGGACTGGTGTGCAGTACACGCAACCCTTAATAGACAAACGGATATCACGTCGGCGCCATATGTGGCGTAAATTGACAAAAGCCAATCGAGCCTTTTGTATCCATGCAGAGATTACATCGGCAACTAACCCACCAACCCATTCCATTCAATTTTGAACATCCATTTCTAGCAATTTATTAGAAATATATTTTTAACGAATGTTTACACATAACGAAGCTATTTAGTTCTGGTAATATTTCGATCAAAATTACTGTCTATGATCACACCAGTTGTTGGAATTATTTGTTCTCACAGGCAATGACACAGTTCATATATATATAGTATTTGTATTCTCTGGGTTTGTCATTGTTTTTTTTCCAGTACTATGCTCCATATTGACAGTTGAGTCATCTTTGTTCCATGTGTTTGGCGTGACATGTATGAACATGGATTTTCAGTCAATAATCTTTCTTTCCATTTGTTCACCTTGTTCAATATTGTCCTAATTAATATGATGTTTTTCATCCCATGCATGAGCGGCTATCAATGAACTTTTTTCTAAATTCCTATATTCTTGTGTCCCTGTTGACTGACCTTTGGTTAATCTAAACAGCGTAATGAGAAGACGAAGATTATCTGAAACACACATGGACTTGTCGAACTGTTTATGTGAAAATTTACGAAAAAGGTCAATGAAGTTAATAGGAAACATAGGAATAGGAAGGGATAGAAAAAAAAGGAAACCCTTATTCTTGGTATAAAAATTAAAATCAATACTACCAAGGTTGGTTCAACGTGAGTACAAATTGTTTTTGTATATCAAGTTGTTATTCATCGTAGACTGACATCAGTTGGAGGAACGAAGGAAACCTGGGAGCACTGGACAGCTGTTTCGTCCTAGTATGGGACTCCTCAGCAGTGCGCACCCACGACCCCACACCAGCAGGGATCGAACCCGCGACCCTCAGGTTGCGCGACCAGCGCGTTACCATTGAGCCACTGGGTCAGAATCCAATGCTCCTTTTGTATACATAAAGGGGGTTTGAATTCACGGTGGCAAGAGTTTCAATAAATTTAAGCACTCGGCTGTGACCACTTTTATGTAGTACTTTAAAGGCTATTTTCATGTCTATCCTATGGTTAGTTTCTAGTATATGTTTCGCGATAGACGAAGATGGATGTTTGTCACCTGCACTTATCGGATCTGTTGAGGTTATTTGTTTTTGTAGCCACTTAGGTACATGTCCAACCTTCCTTAACTGCATATCATGATTACTCCACCCTATATATGCGTGTCCACACATACATGTAAATTGATAAACACAGTGGGATGTGATGTAGTCGTTTATATGTTGTTTCGGTTTGTGCTGTAACATGGACTTGGTCTTCTCTACAGTGATGACCATAGCTGCATAATACCTTTTACAGATGGCCGATCTAAGTCTTTTCCTCACAACAAAGCTATATGAACCACCTCTAAATGGTAACTAGATGTGGACATTTTTCGTAGCAACGGAAAACTATGTACTTTTCATTGGTACATAACTTTTGCACCGATCGATAAATCTCAACGGGTATCCATTCTGTTTCAGAGTTGTCGTCAGTAAGTTGGTTTCTTCCTCCCTGGTGTCATCGGTGCAGATACGGTTTATCCTGTTGAATCAGGATCTGACTAAACCACGTTTATATTGGACTGGACAATAGCTATGGAAATTGATTCGTCTTCTCATTACGTTGTTTAAATTTATCAAAGGGACCAGTTGCTTTAAACTTTAGTTAATCGTCTATGTTCATTCAGTCTGGTTTTCAGTGCTCTCGATGTTTGACCTACATAGTTAACTGGGCAATCGATATTGTAATTTTGCTCAAAATAATACTATAAATAACATCATTGTGTGTAAATATTCATTAAAAATATATTTCTAATAGATTGATTCTCTTCGCAATGCACAAATTTATCATGGATATAATCCATTTCTACTCTTTGCATTTATCATTTGACCTGTAAAATTGTTCATTTCTATGTTGTAACACCTAAATCGATGTCTTAGTCTATGTTATGTGTGTATATTCTTTTGTGTTGTTTAATGGTGTATATAATCAAATATGTAGAGTATTCAGCTGACGAGTACTAATGAAATTTATGAATTCATGAAATCCTGCTTTTTTTCACATTCTTTGCTTGTTTTAAACTTGTATCGGGGAACAAATGTTTTTAAGTTTCAAACATATTGCTGAAATGCATGATATCTTTTAGTCAAATCAATGACATCTTCTTATTGTTTTGTCAAACTTTTAAATAAATAGATCTTTGAAGCAATCTATCCTTTATTCTTGTTAGCATAAGATTAAGAAATAGCATTTTTGGATATGATTCCACTTATAATATGAAGTTGATGAATGTGTACAGTATCGTTTGAAAATTTGAATTTCCTTGATATATGATGATGAGCATTCAATTTGTAGAGATGGTGTTTACAGAATTCATCGAAAACTTTAGTAATATAAAAGTAGAAGCCAAATTGTATGGTAAAAAGTAAATTTTCTATCCACATTTTTTTCTTACTGCTTAACAACATAAAAAAAATCTTCAATAAAAGTAGCTCCTTTTTTTGTTTTTGAGCAAACTTCCACTTTAGAAACTAATACAATGTTCAGCTTTTATTTTGGTGATATTTCGAGCAAATTAACTGTTCATGATCATATCTGTAGTTAGAATTATCAACGCATTCAGTTGTTGGTTCGTTTGTTTATCCAACACTATGTTCCATGTGTTTGATGAGTGGATTGCGTCATCTTTATTATACGCTCAGACTGAAAGATAAAATAGATCAAAGCTTGGGAAAGGGCAGTAAGATTGCACTATACTAGGGGATGATAGCAGGGGGTAAATAAAGTTCGAATGTGAGTATAGCAGTTGTGTGAAAGGAGTGACAAAAATAAAACAAAAAAAGGAGAGAAAAACATTTTAGAAATCTATAGGTTAGGTCATTCATTTGGTCTTCCTTTTCACACTATTACTATATTGACATTTAAGCTTTATTTATTGCATGTGTTGGTTATGATATTCAGTGATTAATCATTCTTTGCATCTGTTCAAATTCTACTTCAGTACATCCAGGTGATCCCGTTCAACAACACTTGCCCGTGTCAAGCGTAGCTTGCCATAGACGAACTCTTTTCCAGGTGTTTTAACCCTTGGGCTTTAACAGACTGACTAATCTGACCTTTAGTAATCTCTAAGTTTAAACCGGATGCCTAACAGGCAGGGCAGTCAATGCATAAAATCTTATATACATTTTACGTTGTTCTTGCCTCATTTAGCAATTGGTTACCTGAGCTGGTTCAAAAATTACTGAAGTTAGCGATGAAGATATTCTATTCAACTTTAATGTTGATAACTTGAACACAAAGATCCTGATAAAAATGGCTATGGATGAGCTTAAAGCAGGATTAGACAACGGTGACAGCCTAGAAGATCCAACACAGTTGACTGTAAAAGACAAACTAAAAGGAGTAAGGCAGTAGATAACAGTTTCTTTCTTCTTTGAGATCCTCATTTGGACACTAACCACCTACATAAGAAACTGAACCAAGCAAGTACTATCAAATATAATGTCCAAGAAGCATAGAAAACTGGTTGTTTCGAAACCAGATGCTAAATGTTTGTTTAAAACTTTGTCTAATATCCTTTTGGTTCACATTGGCCATTGACATGCTACTTAGATGAATGTACCGTCTATACCTGTGTTCAATGTCACATTTATAAATCCATACAAAACATATGAGCAGATTTAATTTCAATCACACCTACTTAACTACTGAAGTCATGGATGAGTAATATGGATCGATGAAAGTTGAAGCGATTGAAGCAATGTATAGAAAAGGTCAACAATTTCAGATTTTTTATGCTCATTTATGCGTCTTTATTTCTAGAAAGAATGAAGAATAATTCATTGTTTTAGAAAAGTATAAAAAGCAAATCAGTACACAAGATCAGTCGATCGTTTGTTTGGTAAAAGGCACTTTTACTCTTCCTCTTCCTCCTCCTGCTACTCTACTCTATAAAAAGGCAAAGAGTAATTAACAAATAGGAAGGCATTCACCTACTTGTTATATATAACCTCAGTTATATACAAATTTGTAATTTTTGCTTGCTAATAAATATTTATGTACAGTTTCATGTTTTTGTGTTTGCATGTCTGAGTGAGACGGAGTACTTTATAAATCTGTGTGTTTATTTTTGTCTTTTTTTGCGGTATAAATCCGCAATAGGCTTGGTAGCAGCTCGAGCTGCGCGCTGGGACATATTCTTCTGTGTTAAGTTTTGTGCTACTGTTGTTGCTGAGTTAGGTACCTGGCTAAATAGTTGTGGTTCTTGCCCAAAGTGTTGCTGTAGCGATCGCGTTTGTTGTGTCAGAGGTACTTGTACAAATTCAGATGTTGGTAATTGTCCTGCATTTGAATTGTTTATTTGTGTTTGTGATGCAGATAACGGGAAATCTAAGGCGGTTAGTAATTGTGGTTCATAAGATCGTTCAACTGTAGAATATCCAGTATTATAACGATTCATTCGCTGAGTAGATCTGGGATTTGAAGTACGTTTTAATAAATCCAAATCACTTCTAGATAATAGATAGGGAGCAACATTCAGTAGATTTTCGAGTAAATACATTGAGTATGTATACCATCGACGTTCACCATCACTTTCAAAATATGGTTCATTGTATGGTGTTTTACGTATAAACTCTTCACAGTTTTCAACAAAACTACGCACTAAACTTGAAGCATATAACTTCCATGTCGTTCTCTCTTCATGTAAATTATTCAATGTAGCGACTATTTCAGCTGGCATTTCATTATCATCACCATTCTGTTAAGAAATAACCAATAAAATATCAGTATGAGTTAACGAGAATTATACTACACATGATTCCTATTTCCATCAATTACAAAACGTTTTAACCCTTATACACTAAATCATAATTTTAGGAGATGAAAATCTTTAGCAGCCTGGTTGAACCTTATTATTATTATTTTCCCCTTGGGTTCCTAATGGAACATAGGGCTTCAGTAGCACGCCTCCATCGCACTCTGTTCTCTGCAGTCTTTCTAACCTGGCTCCACGACAGCCCACAAGCTTTCATTTCCTTCTCGCACGATCTCCTCCATGTCACCCTCGGACGCCCAACTCATCGTTTCCCCTTTGGATTCCACGCGAGAGCCTGGTGCGTGATGTCACCAATCGACCTTCTCAGTGTATGTCCAATCCAATCGATCTCCACTTCCTTTTGCATTTTTGTTGGGTGATAAGTTGTTGGTTGATTCGTTGCCAGAGTTCGTTGTTACTTATTCTTTCTGATCTTCAGTATCGAGTGAACGTAGGCAGCAGCTATCGGTGTATGTCTGTAGTTTGTTGGAAATGCTTTTCGTGACGCGCTAAGTTTTTGAACCATAGAGCAGCACTGGTTTGACATTGATGTTAAAAACCCGGATGGTTGAACCTTGGTTTATGAAAATTTTCCAGTGAAATTATTCATCAATTTTTTCCTTTCAGTTTGTTTTAATGATTTAAATATGTTATCGGAACGTATCAAGTACTCTTGAACATTTTAAAAATGCTTTTAACTCACCGTTTCTCGAGTTAATAACAAAACAGATTAAAAAAGTAGCATTTTTATGGAAGTGGACTTTTCAATGCGCAAAAGTATGTTATATATTTTTGTCCCTTGGATACTTAACTTGGTTTGCATATTCTTGTACTATTTAAATAAACCGCCACCATTCTCATGTTCCTGTCGTTTATTCATTATGGTCCATATGCTAACTCAAAATCAACTGACTGTTTCACATTATTGTCTTGAAACTGTTATTATTACCATCATTCAGATCCAATAACCGTTTCGTCTAAAAATATTGTTCTAGAAGTGACTTTGTTGAAAAAATTAAATGCTCAAAGTTCCATACTGCATATTACATACTGTTTGGAATACAGCGATTATTATTTTTATCATTATTGTTGTTATTAGTAAATATCATACTTAGTATATCGTATCTACATGCTCATGACTGCGGATTACACACTACAAATTTAGTTGATTTTTCCTAACATATTTAAGCTGGAAGATGCGAGAATGTTGCATACAATGCCATATGAGGTCTACGATGCGAAAAACTGCTGAATGAGAAGCATAATAATTATCTTTTAACCTTTTCTAGTATTTCCTGGTACTCATACTGTCACTTCTATAAGCCTAGGCGTAGAAACATCGTTGATTAGTTAACTATAAACATTAATACATCCGACTCCTAGTAGAAACAAGAGTTGGTTTAACAAAAATTAGCTTGACTGAAGATATATTTTGAGGGAGTTGTGGGGTCATGGGTGCCCACTGCTGAGGAGTCCCAAACTAGAACAAAACAGCTGTCCAGTGCTCCCAGGTTTCTTTTGTTCCTCCAACTGATGTTAGTCTACGATAAATAACAACTTGAAGATATATTTGACAGATTTCTACTGCTTTTACAAGGTTTTATCAGTCTCAGAATTTGTTAAGCTACAGTTTCTATTTCGTTTTCATGATATATTTTTATTATTTCAACTACTGACAACTCTATAGTTCAACAAGTAATACTTTGTTTTTGAATGATATCGTCAGAACTTAATGACCGGTACTTAAACCTCAAAAGTTTTACAGAACATAACATTCTGTTACTCTATATTGTCAGCTCAAAGTAGTTAGACGTATATAATCTTGATGGATGTTAATAGAGGTTTGAACAGCAATTTAAGTATCCAGTTTCTCATGCGATAAATTTACTGACTGATACTAACTTGTACAAAAAACTGGTAATAATGTCACAAATCCCTAGTCCATTCATTTGTAATCTAAATAGCATAATTACTTTCATTATTTACTGACAGTTTGCTTAATCTTCTTGAAACTAAAAAAAGGTTATGAATATTAACTCTTGAAGATATGCACGTTTTGATAGAAGTATTCCATGAGATTTATAATGTCCATTGTTGGCATTTTTCATAGACAGAACATATCAAGAGATTATTCCTTAAGGGGACTGACTGTAAACCAAAGAGCTGAGAGTTCGAGCACCACCACAACTATCGAGGTTTGGGCAGACATGTAGTATCACTGGACCTCATACAATATGTATGGCTCATTGTCCACCGAACGGATCTGCATAAGTTTGCTAAATGGGTTTCGATCCGGCAAAATATCCTGAAATATGCTTATAGGTAATGACGAAGATAACAGATCTGAAAACTGTGAGGTATAATCAAAGATTACCACTGGGTATCCTATCCTAGTATTTCTCAACACAATATACTTATCATCCACTACTTTAAGTCGAACTTTTGACTAATAAACTTCATTGTGAATAAGTTTACAAGTTAGTTACTCAATCCACTTCTAATGGGTGGTACCTCTAAATCTAACCAAGTCTAGTGTGACAAATCTTTCGTTTTCACTTTCATCAGAAAACTTCAATTCATCAGTGTAAAATCGGTGGTTGAAAATATAGCCTCAGGTTTCAGGCAAGGTCATGTGTAAGTGCTCAATAAAAATACAAGTGATGAAATCTTATGTAATTCCAGCCTTCAAACTGATATTATCTGTTGAAGAAAGAATACTAATTATACCTGAATACTTTGAGAAGAATGTACTAACGACTTTATTTGACAACAGTCCATAATCTCATCAACTGTTTCACTATTAGCCTTTAACACCCTATCCTTAATTTTCTCAATGATGATTCGAAGTCTATCTCAGTTAAACTAGGCTTGGTTAAATGTCGAAAGCCCATCAGAAGAATAGAAAATCTGAGACAAGAAATCAGACGCACCAAGAATACCCTACCTTTAAAAAATTACCCAAATGAATTTACCAATAAATCCCTAAGAAATCGAAAGAAGAATATGAGCAGTAGTAATAACACAGGTATTATTGATAATAATCCTACTACCAATAATAATATCGGTAGTGATAATGGTGACAAGGTGAAGAAAAGATTTAAAACCTCAACTATATAACCATGCAAAGAAAGCACTGTAGAAACGTGACGAAGAGATTGAGAAGTGGCATTTTAATCGACAAACTAATTCAGCAACAGCCTTTGTAGACTAAAGGGTCCAAATGATCCATGTAGGCAAAATAATTTAGTTTACCAAATCCCTTGCAAGGATCGAGAAGTGACTTTAAAGGCCACCTTAGCAATTGCTGAGGTAATCCATTACGTTTCGTTATTTTATGAAAAATTACCTTTCCAGCTGGAACACTGAGAACTGATGGGTTACTTCGGCAATTCCTAGGGTGGCCTTTAAAGTCAATGATGATTGTAAGGTCAAATACATGGGTCTAAGTGATTGACCGGAGTCAATTGGAATAACAGAGCACAAAATCTTAGCTAAGTCCAGATTGTTAGAGAAAAGCTTGACTATAGTTGTACATACAATCTTGCACAATCAAACAATAGGATGGGATACAACGACTATTAAGGACTAACTTAATTGGGTGGAGGGAGAGATTGATAACCGAATCCTTGTTTATCGAATCAGCACCAAATACATGGAATAGAAATGATTCAGTACCTGTCCCAGACATATGGAAAATTTTGCTACCCTTGTCAAAGAGAAGAAGAGAAGATTAGAAGTACATAAACCATGTCTAGAAGTTGTAGGGTTACCTGGTATGAATACAGACAACAAATTATATCCAGAACCTTATCCAGTAAGTAAGACTATTTCACTGTATGACACTTCTACTACACAGACTGAAATTGACTATGTTTTGACTGGATTGGTGTCGGCTAGCAGTAGAATCCAGGACGCATGTTTCGGCCCGTTTGGGACTCGTCAGCTGGATGCACCTGCACCCTAGTGGATGATGTTGTTCCCAGTGAGACTAGAAAGCACTACGCATCGCTTCAAATGGCAAAGCTTTATCCACTGGAGCACGAGAACCACATCCTGTGCAGCGAGTATACCTTTTAATCACTTATTGATACTTGTGATTTCCCGTTGCTATTCTGGATTGAAACAAACTTGCTAGATTCCATCGCTAGCCACTACCAAGTCAATTACAACACAATCGATAATCAGACAACATCAAGACATCTGTACAGGAGCCCAAATACCAACAAAAGTCAATCAGTTCTATCAAGAATAAAAATGAAAAGTTACGAGTACCAATGAATATGATTAAAATGAAATTACAGTTTATCAGTGCTCAACTTTCAGCCCTATATGTATCACTCTAATACTTTGAAAAGCTTTTGTATTTTGTCATGTTCTAATCAGTCCAAATAAATCTCGTAAACGAGAGAGATGTCTGAAAGGGAAGTTCAGTTTTCGACAAACAAATAACCAGTTGAATAATTCAATGCTCTCAGGATACTAAATAATAAACTGTCCTGAACTTATTTGATAAAAGAATATGGTAATTAGATAAAGTGAATCTCAGGGTTTTAAAATTAAAGCTTAACTCATCTAACCAAAGAGTCCTGACCCTGATCTCAGGAATAGTTATGAGTGTGTACTGATGATATACTTGAATATACGCTGAACACAGCCAGTTTATGTGTCCTAATATGATCTCGACTGATATCAGTTTGCATGAATGGATCATTCGGTAGAAAATGGTTAAGGTGTCGAAGTCAAATGCTGATACAAGTCTATAGATTAAGTTTGCAATGTAACATGACATTGGTGCACTGTTTCATGTGTTAAAAGTTAATCAGTAAGAAGCCATGAACCTGGATTGGATCCTACTCTGAGTTACCGACTTTACGCTTTTGACTACTAATAAGCAAGTGGCGGGTATATTGAGTATGCTCCAGTCACCAAATGTAATTACATAATATTACTCAGTTAGAGGGGATATTCTTCACCCTAATAGATCGCTTTTGAAGCGTATACTTTTATTAATGACTAATTCAAATCGAAATCTCAGAGAAAAAACGAGTTCCCACCAAGTTGATGATAAACCTTTCTGATGAAAGCCGACGGAGACGAAAGCCTTGAGAAGTAAAGTATTTTACTAGTTGGCTCCTAATATCTAAAATCAAATATCAGCTCCACGTAGGAAAAATCACTTGCATCCCCATTGGCAATTCTTATTTAACTTAGAAGAAAGCGTGTGTTAGTCATTTGCTAGCAAACCATAACACAACTGGATAAAAATGACTATTGCTGACGCTATTTTTTTCGACTACAGCTGACTTTCATGGAGGCAGTAATCCAGTAACGATGTAATCTGTTCCACAAAAGATTACATTTCATCAAAATAAACCTTTTTTGACGTTGATTGACATATTGACATGAATCGACTTGATTTATACATTCCATTATTCTAAGATGCGTCGGAAATCTTACACAAAGTACTCTGATCTATGATTTAGCATTGATAACTCCCTTGTCAAAAGCCACGTGATGGCAAATACCTTTATACTTTGACTGATTAACTTTTTACAAAGAAACTTTCGCTAGTTGGAAAAAATAATCAGCCAGATAGATTCAGGTAGATGTTTTCACTTTCATTAAGCAAACTATTTTGATTTTATAAACTTCAGGATTAAAATATGATCAGATGGAATTGAATAAGTTGAGTATTGGGTAAATGGATTATAAAGGAAATATATTTGTAAAAGTTAAATGAGGTAGGAAAGTAAACCTCTGAGGTTTCACGACTTTATGGAAGCCGCTCCTTCACAGAATAAAACTTGCGCAAGTCATCGAACATTTAAATAGTTAATGGAGACAAATCGGATCACTTTGTCCATTATTAGTTATTGATCTATTAGTTCGAGGTGAATATGTTACTAATGCCTGACAAACGTTAAGTTTTACTCTCATATTAGTGTTGAAAGAAGCAAAAGACAGGTATGCAAGAAGGACTGTCCATAGTCAACAAGTGGGACAATAGTCGTTAAATATGGTACTCCTTGCACTAAAACGGTCATTTACAAAATATGCTTCATTTCCTTTTCTGCTTCTTTATTGATTTGCTTTTCATACGCCTGCCTTGTCCCTTGCGTTCCTCTTGGCGGAATCCTTACGCATTGCTGGTAATTCCCTATGATATCTGCCACCCCCCCAACATATACTACTTATATCTATTCTTATCAGCAACGCCCACTGCAGTATAACTTATGAACAGAGTGATCTGATTTGTCTACATTTGCCAATTAAGCATGCAATAACTTGTATAGGCTTTATTCTCTAAGGTAGTAGCTTCCACGAGGTCATAAAATGACAATATTTTACAAATATATTTGCCTTATAAACTTTTTTGACCTTCTATAGTCTAATCAGTTAGGAAATTATCAAAACTTCAATAGACTTTGAATGTTTCTGTTTAGAAAGGAGACTAGCAATTACGTCAAAGCAGAGTGTAAGAGATACTAGATTTTAAATACTCCTACATATGCTCAGCTTCCTGTTTATATGCCTACGAAACCAAGCTATCTTACTTCTGTATGAAGTTGCACTGAAATTGAAGATGCCTAGCATAACTTAAATCGTTTGCTCGTCAAAAAGTACATTTACAAACAATTTAATTCAGGCGAATACATTAAATTACCGATTTTAAAGATAATACGGCTTCTGCGAGTTAGCAGTATGCTACGATTGTCTTTTGCTATGAATATCTATATTCATGCTCGATTTGATAGACAGGTGTATGATAGGTTAATTTACTTCTGAACCTAAGCTAAATAGGTTTATAAAAGCATAAAAAAGAACTGAGCTTTAATTTGCTTGGTTATGGCTAGCAGAAGAATCCAGGATACTCGTTTCTTCTTGTTTGGGACTACTCATCAGCTGCATGCACTTGCACCCTGGTGAGTGTTGTTTTTACCACCGAGACTCCAGAAAACATTACTAGCACTTAAAATCTTGTATATACGAAAAAAATTTAGTGTGTCATTCTAAAAATGTCACTGAAAAAGTCGAAAAGTAATTTTGGGGTGATGAATGAACTATGACTAGAAACAACCAAGTACCATTTCGCCTATTGGGTTAGGAATAACATATATTATGTAAAGACTATAGGCATTACAACAACCGGTAGAAGGAAATGAAGGATTTCATAAGTTGTAAGTTGGAATTTAGATGTTTCGACATTAGACATAATTTGTAATTGTCTAAGTCACAACGTGTTTCAAATGAGACAACTTCAGCGTTACACACGGAGGTCTGGTTCGAGTTTCTTTGGGGAAATAATCAAAATTAAGACATCAAGGATACATAAATGAATACAAAGACAAGTATTTAATCTCCTTGTCCCATACGTTTCGTATAGTTTTACTAAAATATGATAACTAATCATTCAGTGTGAAATTGTATATCTCTTGTTATATGGATAGCGCATATGTGTGTGTGTCTGTATATTACCATTCCTATTCTCCTTGATTGTAAGTATCAGACAAAAGGTCATAGGTGACATTATAGTTATTCGACAATTTTATAAGTACTATGAGGCGGACATATGTCAAACACTGTCTTATGCAAATACAAACTATATCTAATATGAACTTTTTACTGAGTCTCAATATTTGCCTTGCTATTCAATCAGATCTTAATCATCGTATTAAGCTTGAAACTAAATGAAGTTCAATTTTTTGCAGAAACTAGTTTGTATAGAATTGTTTACTACAGCTTTATAATTGAAAAAGTGCACATAGGTTACTGGAGTTAGATTTCATTCTATCATAGTATATCATAATCTTTTGAATATAAATAAATTAACTATTCATTTTATAAATAATTACAATGTCCATATTTTTATGTGTCTGCAAAGATGATTATTCTTAGAGCTTCAGTGTAATTTGATAACTTTCAATTAAAAATGTCAACTGAGTAAATAATCTGATATATTTTTTTTGAAATAGATTTTCTAATCTTAGAAATATAACTCTAAAAGTAAATAACTCTATCAACAATCAGGCCATAATTGTTACGAATCTCCTGAAAGAAGTTGAGCGTCAAGTCAGGTTTATTCATTATATTTTCTAAACACGCTGGGATTGTTTTAAAACGTACTTGTGTAATGAGCAAATAACACTGTCAGTGAATGTTCTTCATATGATTAAGCATGCCTGATGTGGTAATGAAAGCTTCATCATTTCATTGTCCAACTTCAATAAACTAACTCCATTAAAACTATATCTACTGTATATGAATTTCATCTGCTTCTATCGACATCAAGATTCCGTTAACATTCTGTTATCTTTGGTTAAATGTTAGGATTGACGAAGAAGGGTTTTTTTAATGGAAAATATTTACATATGCACCATTTAGTCGATAAGTCTTGATCCACTGTGATGTAATACTCCAATATCTCTGAAATAAAATATCAACATCCTTTATTGAGATCAGGAAATTTCACTCAACTATATGAGTATTACGCTGAATGCCAACGTGCTTTCAATCTATTGTAATCAATGACACTAATGAGGCATTGAAAGTTACAATACCAATAACGTTTTTGTCAAAGAATACACCTGTCAAAACATCTGATGAAAAAAATAAATGCATTTTGTGACATACCTCCAAACTCTCCTCTTGAATTTTAGTTGCTTGTTCACTTGCCAGTCTACCAATAACCAAGTCTTGTTGTTTTTTCTCTTCTTCCAGGGATTTCTGTCTTTTCAGTAATTCTTCGCGTACTTTTTCCCATTCTTTCTCTTTCTTTTGATAAACTATAACTTCTTCTTGAAGTTTTTGTAATTCTACTTGGACATTTAAATCATTGGCACCATTCATATTTGAACCTGTTGATAGTGTATTCATTTGTGCTACCTGACTATTGCCTATAAATGATCGATAATCTGTACTCAAAGTTGATCGTAACTGATCTGTCTCAGTTTTTTTCTTGTCACCATTCTCCCCATTAACATGATTTTGTTTATTCATATTATTGTTAATACTACTATCATCATTATTATGATGGTTATTATTACTACCACTACCACCAGTAAGTTGAATTTCATCAAGCTGTTCATTTAGAAAATCACATTCTTGTGTTTTCAAATCTAGTGATTGCTTGGCTTGATCTAACTGCCAAGTGAGCGCTTCAATTTCAGCTTCCAAACGTTCACATGCACCAATTAATGTTGCAACTTGTTCATCACGTGTTTGCGTATTACTTAACAAAAACATACTCTTCATCTAGAAATAATTTTGATCAAAAAATAATAATCTATCATGTCATGCAAATAATGAGAATAAGAATTTTAAGAAAACACGAATTTAAGAAATAACTAACGGATTTAAAAATGTCTGGTAACTGAATACTCTGCTAAATCAAGTGAGTAGTTAATCACCTCAGAAAGGATATTTTCAAGCGTTTAACACAAAACGAAGAATACATTCAGATAATTTGGATAGAATCAACTGACTCTTAGATGGTCTGGTTTAATAGTAATAAGAATTGGTTTAACATTTAACCAGTTGTACAGCCTGTGCCACAGAGATCATAAGCTTTGATTTCGAATAAGGTGCTTATACTCATGGATGCTGTCGACGCGTAATGCTCGCGAAACAAGGTGAGAAGCAGGCATCAATTCTACTATTAGGATTAACATGCTAATTCATTTCTTTACATAAACTGAAGTTTCCTCTCCGTGTACACTCACTTAATCGTCCGATAAACATGTTATTACTGACTACATTCATGAGGATGTTTAGGTTTGACAACTCCTTTTTTTTCATAGAGAAGAAACGTTCCCTCGTTGTTACGTCTTTGTTTTGTAAGTTAAAACGGGAATGCTCCAACTGATAGCTAAAAAGTGATTATATTCAAATTTGCCAAAGTGCCGACTATACATTCAAGTTAATTTCTCTTTTTGTTTTTATTTAGTAAACTACCCGAACTTTTACAGTTTCTATCTTACGAAACGATTGTGTAATGGATGGAGATGAACAGGTTGATTTTCCCCGAACTATAGATAATTTGACATGTAGTGAGATACTGACTCGACAATGAATGGTCGAATATTCAAAATATTAGTTATCATCCTTCTACTTACCTCAGCTGCAGTACATACCATCTAAAAGTTGACGAGATGAAGAAGTTACAGGTCTCTTATTTTTAGGTTGAGTTCTTTTATGACAAACAAACTATTTTAAGATCAGACTGAGCAAAAAACCCGAATTTTGTTTACATTTGAAACAAATTACTTTGTAAGATAATAAATGAGTATAACTGATATGACTGAGGCATATGCTATTCCTCCTCAATTGTTACCTCCTACCACATGTCACAGTTACAAAAAGGTTCTGCTTTCATTTTTTCAGCTAAGGAACAACTAACAAATGAAGTGAAATAGCCTTAAAATAATTAATGGAATTATTTGCTTTCTGTGAGCAGCATAGTCTTTATCGAAACATATCAGAACTGAGGCGTTCTTACACCAACTTAAAGGTGATAAACATAAAGTATTTGCTTAAAAACATCTAATCCAAATCTCAGGTGATAACTGATCTGCTTCATATACAAAAATCAAACATTATTTTCATAGAATATACAGGTGAATAGGAATCAAAATGACTGGTTCTTACCAAGCACTAAGGGTTCAATATCACTTTGATCTTGTTTAAAAACATCTTTTTTTTCAGGAATCTTATAACCTGTTCATTAGTATAGATTACGTTACTTAAAAGTAAACAACCATGTCATTAGTATTATTTAGGTCGTTTTATCAGTACAGTAAATCTATTTACCAACCATCAAATGATGTTGAACCATCTTACTGACCATTACTAGTATTGTCATATTGCATGATATAAGTATGCCTATGCTTCCAGTTTTTTGTTGTTGATAATACAGTGGTCACTAAGACTGGTGGTTCTCATCTACATCTTTAAATTCCAGTTGTTGGCAGCTGATGTTTTGGAAAAAATTTGCATCATTAAAGATTATATCGTGACAGCGTAGATCTAGTTGACAAGAGATTTAGTTATGAAATACCACTCATGAGTTCATTTGATGTCTAATAAATTATATTTCCCAGAAATATGTATTCTTTCATGGTATTGCTTGAAATTTCCCGTCGTTGGTTGGGCTGAATTCACTGGTCTATCTTTGCATATGGGCTTCTGTGTGGATGTCTCGATAATATGAGTAGTTTAGGCTTGATAGTAATGATGGGTAGTAGCTAGCAGTGCGTTTCGTCCTATGTTGAAATGCCCAGCTGTATATACCTACATCCCAGTGAGCAGTGTTGTTCCCACCAGGACTCAACCCTGGACCGATAGCTTCAAACGCCACAGTCACGAAAACCACTTCTTATGCAACGAGTATAGTTTATATGTTATTACTGGTGACTCGGTGGTGGAGTGGAAACAAAATCGCTAACTAGGAGGCAGGTACACACAGTTGATGAATCGGAAACGGGACGAAACGTGCATACTGAATACCGTGATTACTATCAGGCTAAAATAAATATTTTGATAATATTTATGGATGAATGAATCGACATAAGTAAAAATAGATCGAATGCGTGTTTTCTATTGAAATTAAAAATAATCTTGGTAATTCATAATGTTGATATTCCATCATCAGCAGTTCAGTGAATTCAGAATATTGTACGACATACATTCAAACAAATAGTGAATAAAAATGATAAAAAGTAATAAAAGCACTTTTTACAATTATTCTTATTATTTTACTTTAAATGCTTCAGTATCTGTTTGATATTGTGCAGCACATCTTCGAAATTCAGTCAACTGATTTTGTTGTTGATCAATGATAGTCCGCGCTTCATTCAATGCTGCTTTCATTTCATTATTTTGTAATCGGACATTTTCCAACTCTTCATGTAATCTGTAAATATCATCTTCTGTCATCTATGAATGATAAACAAAAAAGAAAGAATATATTCTGAATAAATGTTTACGTCGAGGTAATACATATCAAAAGAGTTGAGTTAACTGAACTATCATCATTTATCTACTTGATTATTTGGTTTCAATATTCGCGTGAAAATGATCAATAAAGCAGAGTGATAAACAGATTAAAATAAAATTTCCTGATAGTTGGATCATTTGCTGAGTGTACAGACTGTCTATCACTAACTGGCATAACTAAGATACTTGTTATGCATATCAATAAACCTTATAGGGCTTATCAGTTAGTTTATGACTAGTTTAGAGAAAAAGTGAGAACTGGTAACTTTACAGAGTTTCATCAGTCCCCTAAGTTTTTGACTATTAGTTTGAGTTATACAGTGTAGTGAATTCATTGTTACTGGAGTCTGTATAAAGAATGGGAATGGTGATTTTTGACTATATGCAGTGTGGTTTGGAATCGATGAAATTGGTGCACACGAAGCTTAATAAAGCAATTATCATATTCATTAGTTTCATTTTATCTCTGGTTTCTGCGGTTGACGATATTACTATCTTTTTTGAGTTCTCTTCCGTATTCTTATATCAAGTATGACAGTTATGTCTGATATGTAGTTATCCTAGGTACTCAGTATTGGCAATTTGACTTTGTCTTACTCCATAGTAGGTGAATAAGTTACGGGAGTCAAGGAGATATCCAATCTATTAATACTCTTTGCCTAATTCCATGCAATATAAGCCAGAACAATGAAATCTATTCTGATCTCGGAGACACCCAGGAATCAGAGTAAAAGTGAATTCTGTTTAGCCATTAAATCTTGTAGATCAGATCTTAATGTACCGCATTAATAATAATCTATAATGACATACAGTTTGAAAAGTTACATTCTATAGCGAGTTACGAATGCCATTAGGTGTCAGTGTAAGTCACAAAAGGACCTAACACGACTACCTATAAGTTACCGGATTGGGAATCTACCAAATACGCTACAACAGTCAATCAAAACAAATAGGTATTAACATCATTTTATCAGTTATTCTTCTTCTTGAGCGAAAATGAATGAATAGAAGTGCAATCAACTTTATTTCCTCACTAAACTCTTTATCCAGTCATGTTATTTCCTGAGATCAACTGACAAAACAATCAAGAAAGCGAATAGTTTCGTACTTAGGTCTTATAATTGTTCTTCTAACAATTAGTCGAATACTTAACCATCTAAACTGCATTCTTATTAATCGGGAAGTTCAAAACTAACGTACTAATGAATGAACATACACCGCTTTAGTTAGTTTTGTAATCGCTTACGATTCTGTTCAGCCTTCTTATGCTAACTTCTCACATTAGTTACAGTCAAGTTCAGGGAATACCTAATAGACATTTAATCAGACCATGGAAAATTTAGTCAATATGAAAAAGAGTTATTAGCCAATGACATAGTCACTAGACTACAAACAACTAAACCATAGGTTTAACTCACTCCATTTATTTCTGTTTGGGTGACCAAATGGTAGCGTAAACCTACACATACGAGCTAAGGTTCTTGGCTTAGTGTATGGGGGTATATACGGTTACTGTACAGTATAATTATTCATTGTGATGGTGAAGGAAAAAGAAAAATAACCCACATTACAAGCAGAGTCAAGACAACACTTTGTGTAATTTCAAAATTACACTATTTTTAAGTGAATTCCAGTAATAAGTGATTCTGACATTACCGTTCACATTGCTGTCGTCAATTGTATCATACTATGAAACAGTTATTATAAAAAATCCCACTATTATTAATACAAAATTAAACAATGTGGACATATAACTGTAGTACCTTAAGAAGCTCTCGGTAAGAGCATTCTTCGTACTGGGTGATGATTGAAAGTGAGATGAAAATTTGAACCACCCCAGGATTCGAATCAACGACTACCGAGCTTCTGACCCGGTGCTCACCCAACTGAGCTACGAAGCCCGACTGCCGACCAGATTTTTATTTCACTTCAATCACCAAGGGCTTTGCCCGAGTACCATGTGAATTCGTGAGACCTTGCTACTACTTGGTGGTACTCACACTGGCTGCTTAGTTATGAATTCTTATCCCAGTACAAATTTAACTGAATGAGAGGGAGAGCATCATATTTATTATCATCTTGACCATCTGAGATAGCCGTGGTTTACCAGCCAGTGTGGATACGATCAGGCGGTAGTAGCGCATCATGAATCCACATGGTATTCGGGCAAAACCCTTGGTGATTGAAGCGAAATAAAAATCTGGTCGGCAGTCGGGCTTCTTAGTTCAGACGGTTGAGCACCGGATCGGAAGTTCGGTGGTAGGCAGTTCGAATTCGACTGCTCTTCAAATTTGCATTTCACCTTCAACCATCATCCAGTATAAATACTAGCCTGCCAAACCACGGCTATCTGAGATAGTCAAAATGATAAAGAATATTTTTTATTCCTTCAAATCTCGATTGAATTACGAAGTTTGGCTATCGAACCTATTATTAACATTTTGATTAGTGGTTGATATTTTCCCATACTGATTTCTATACAACAATAAAAACCATTTTCAAGTTGTTATTCAACGCGCTGGCCGCGGAACCTGAAGGTCGCGGGTTCGATCCCTGCTGATGGGGTAGTGGGTGCGCACTGCTGAGGAGTCCCATGCTAGGACGAAACAGCTGTCCAGTGCTCCCAGGTTTCCTTTGTTCCTCCAACTGATGTCAGTCTTCGATGAATAACAACTTGAAATATTTCCAAATCTCCACAACCCCCTCAAAAAAAACCATTTTCATTTCCCAATATCCTAAAGCAAACAATAACTTAATAACAGTGTGGTATACACCAAATAAAAATCATTTACTTTCCCAGTTCCAAGATATCTTTTCTTATATACTAACAAATTTAAATTTTATCAAATAAAAACAAGCAAAGAATATAAAAAAGCAGGATTTAATGAGTTCACTAATTTCAGTAGTACTCATCAGTTGGATGCCTGAAACCAGTGTGAAGATCTTCTGCACTCAGCATGTGGAACAAGATCCGCATTTTCAACACCAACATCAAGTCAAGTCAGTGCTTCTATATCATGGTTCAGAGACTTGGCGCGTTACGAAAGGGATTTCCAATAAACTACAGACATTCATCAACAACTGCCTATGCTGGCTCGCTACTGAAGATCAGATGACCAGAATAATAAGAATAAGCAACAAGGAACTCTGACTGGCTGGTTGGCTGGCTGGCCACAAACCAACGAAGCAAGAAGCTATCTCTGAACAAATGTGCACTGTAAGGAAGTGGAGATGGATTGGATTGGTCATACACTGAGAAGGCCGACTGGGGACATCACACCCCAGGCAGGCCCTCGAGTGGAAGGCAGATGGGAAGCGACGAGTTGGGCGTTTGAGGTGAGGGTGACATGGAGGAGATTGTGCGAGGATGAAATGAGAGGTTGTGGGCTGTTGTGGAGCCAGGTTGAAAATATTTCAGAGGGTAGAGTGGAATGGAGATGTGCTACTGAATCCCTATGTTCCATTAGGAACCCAAGGGATTAATAACAATAATGAGCAATAGCTGGATGCTCTACATACTTGATTATAAATATCACCAAACAATGTAAAAGAATATACTTTCACAGATACAAAACGTGGACTGAGATATTGATTTAGGTGTAAGAACACAGAAGTGAACAGTTCTTCATAGGTCAATACGGTAATGCAAAAGTTGGGAATGGATGTTCACATTGAATGAGGTGAAGGTAGATTACATAATTAATTATAAATTTGAATAGTAGTGTAGTCTAAAGAAACGTGTGGATTTCAAATAAGGAAATAATAATCTTGAGAGAACTGGAGAGAATCGATCGAAGGTGGATTGCGTCATTCAGAACAAGGTAATTAGCAGTCACTCAAGATGACATCATAAGAAAACCAGGTGTGTCGGAAAGAATAATAATGGTAACAGTGGTAACATGAATAAGGTTAATCAAACGAAACAAATTAGGAAGTATACAATAGGTGTAATAATTGAAAGCAAATAGTAAGTAGGGAACAGTAAATATGATAGACGACAATGCAATTACTACTATGGCAGATTCAAGTTAATTATCATTTGACTTCATCAACTGCTTTTTTCACATTCGCCGCCTGTTTTAAATCTGTATCGGAGACCAATTCGACAGTTTTTGTCCAAAATAACTACATAAAATAATGAACTATAGTGTTCACCTGTCAACAGGTCCACTTTATTTAAACAAATTGAATTCACTGTCCAGTTTGTTAAATTTTCAATAAATTGTATGACAGAACACATTTTGAAAAACAAAATAAACGTGAAATTCAAGTAGGAGAAATGTATTTTGAGAAATAATTATATTATTTGACTATTTGAGATAGCCGTAGTTTGGCAGACTAGTATTTATACTGGATGATGGTTGAAGGTGAAATGAAAATTTGGACTGTAGCTGGATTCGAAACAGCGACCACTGGGTTTCCGTAGCTAAGTTGGTAGATCATCGGGCCGGAAACCCAGTGATTGCTGGTTTGAATCCAGCTGCGGTCCAAATTTTCATTTCACCTTCAGCCATCATCCAGTATAAATACTAGTCTGCCAAACTGCGGCTATCTCAAATCGTCAAATCATAATCAATATGATGCTCCCCCTCTCATTGTAATTCAGTTAGTTTTTGATTGGGATGACAAGTCCTGACTAGGCACCCAGCGTAAACCCGATCAAGCGGTAGTAATACCTCACGAATTCACATAGTGGTCGGACAAAGCCCTTGGTGATTGAAGTAAAATAAAAATGTGGTTGGCAGTCGGGCTTCGTAGCTCAGTTGGTACAGCATCGGACCAGAAACCTAGTGTCGATGGTTCGAACCTTGGGGTGATTCAAATTTTCATTTCACTTTTAGTTATCACCCATTATAAATAAATATATGGGCAGGAAGCTTCCTTAGTATGGAACGAAAATAGGTAGAAAGTTGTAGATGAAAAATTCTTCTCCATACAAA